AAAAAAAAACATACTTGACATTTGATTCTGTTCACTGAAAAGTTCTTAGGGTAACCCAAAATAGTTTTTCTATGGCATCATTGTGAAAAAACCCTTTTGGATTCTTTATATTTAGAGGAGTGTAAAGAACATTTTGTGCAGTGGAAAGGTTTAATGGATGTTAAAGTTTCTTCATGGAGCATTAGATGCCAATAAAGTACCTTCATTTTAAAGAGTGTAGATCTTGGATTCGAGATCTTGTGCCTTTGCTTTCATAGCTTCTGTGAGTTCATGCTTGCCAAGGGGACGGTGGCACTCTGCAGGACAGGATCCTTTGAGTTATGGGCTTCCTTTCTTGTGTGCCTTTTGCCTTGTATTTTCCCTCCCAAGCATAAAATTGGTGTTGAAGCACACTTGATCTTGGCAAGGCTTCCTGTTCCTTCCTCTGGCATGGCAGACCCACACTGTGCACATGTCCCTGTGGACGTCCAGAGCTGATATCGAGTTTCAAATTCTGCTTCCTTTACACTTATGTTAAGTCGCACATGCCCCTTCTTTGTATGGTACATTATAACATTGTTTACATAGCTGGGATATAATTAGATGGTGTGTATGTAGAAACAGCTCATATTTAAGGTTATAATTTAGTTTACTTGACTTGTTGGTTGGACAGAGGATTATTTTATTGCCCTGTCTGTTTCATGTCGCTCAGTCAGCTCTGGTACGAATATATCCACAGGAAATGACAAAAAAAGGAGAAAACTTTCCCATTTGACAGAGGAACGTGCTTTTGATTTGTCACTGTCAATGAAATGTTCACTCTGCTTTTACACTTCTCACCACATAATTCATTTTCCCAAACCTGAGCTGCCTTGCTGTCTACACAAACATTTAACTTTTTAAGTGACCAATATAGAATACTCTACAAAGGCAACAACTCTGTGTTGATACAAATAGCACTCCTCACATGATGCACAAAGGAGAAACCTATAATAGTGCTATTGATAACTGATTTCAACAGTGTTTTGGCACATATAGCACACAAGTATTGGGTCAGGTAGTCCCGAATACCTAAATATCGGGACAGTTTAATTAAGTTGAACTATTTTTAGTGCTATGTTTTGGTTTTTATTGAATTATAAGGCCAGAAACATACTCATCCAAAGAGCACTCCTCTCATGAAGTGCCAAGCAGAAATGTACAATTGATTTCAACAGTGTTTGGTGTTAGCATGTTATTACACTAACACAGTACAGACAAATATTGGGTCAGATACTCACAAATTTCCAAAAATTGATAAATTTGTTTTTTGATTGAACTATTTTTATTGCTATGTTCTAAGATTGCGTAATCATGCATACCTTTTAGAGCAGTCTTTGAGGAAATTTTGTGGGCAAAGATTCATTGTCTATTGTCAGGAGTGTAGCAATGCATAAATCACAGCTCAAACAGAAGTCACTTTTAAACTAGGTGTTAAGCCGCAACACCGGTTACGTCAGTTGCCCACTGCGGCACCGACCCCCACCGTCGTTTAGATTTTTTGTAGTAATAAAAATCAATTAGTTCAGCAAAAGAACAGACACTACAATTAAAAACTGAACGCGGCTGCTCAATGCAGCGTGCCGAACGACAGTCGCATCACAGATCAGATTTAATTTCTTCAGTGAGGAGAGTGAGTCGAGCTGACTGACAAGAAGAGTGAGGTGAGACAGACAAGACGATCGCAGATTATTTAGTTTCGAAACTAGATGCAAAAGCGCCTGTTTGGCAATATTTTGGATTTTGAAAAGCCTGTTGACTTTTGCTGTTTATCTGATTTTGGAAGTTTTTTTAAACATTTGTTTCTTATTTAATTGGTTCCACATTGTTTGCAGATTTTTACTTTATTTAAACTTTGTGTCATTTATTTATTTTATTTGACATCAAGGTGTATGCCTTGCCTTCAAGCTTTCTTACTCGTTTTGCTAATAAACGTTCTACTTTCTTATTTATTTAGTTATATATTATACATGTTTACTTAGCCTATTTCCAGTTTTGTATA